TTCAGTTCATCCTAAGGTTGTTGTCAAAGATGGGGGGGGTCACCCTCTAAAGGTACACTTACCTCTCTCCTTTGATTCTGGGAAGAAATCTGGATGACTATGTTAGACAAAGTATCTTATTTTCAGCTGGCTAAAGCCAGGAGTCTCCGTTGGTGTGTACGACTGCAAGGTGTCATACCTTGCCCTGTAAGCCCTGCTTGAGCTTGAAGAAGTCTACACTTGAAGACAAGTGGTTGAGCCTTAGGTGATAAGAAGGGGGAATGTATTTCATGTGAACAAATAAGGCAGGCATGGGAGAAGGGTGTTCAGTGTAGCATTCTCACTAGCATAAATGAGGTGGAGATTTGTGACCGTTGGCAGGGGCAGTATAATCTCATGTAATTCTGTTCTCTCTTATGAACAGGTAGAGTGGGAGAAGGACGCTCTTAGGCTGCGTGCGTGTGTGCACGCAGAGCAAGAAACGTCTGTCGATCTAGGGTTTCCTGGTTGTTCGTGTTCTGCACGCTGGTGCTATTGAGTTTCACAGGGGGGTGGGATCTCCTGCTGTAAAACGCACAGCACCTTCTCACGGCTGCTCCTTGTAGCTAGCTGCAGGACGGTGTCATTCTGCTGCCACGCACTCGCGGCAGCCAGCAGTTAGGGCTCAGAGAAAGGTGCAGCGTTCCCTGCTCCTGCTGCTTCCTCCAAGTGCCCTTCCCTGTTGGGGGCCAGCTCGGCCAGGGTGGTGTGCAGGGACTGTCTGATGCAGAGCAGCTCTGAGGCCAGAGCTTAGCGCTATAGAGCCTTTTGTATTTGCCTTTGTTATGCCAGCCTGAGCCTAAAGAATAGGTGGCTGCATGGCAGGGTGTTGGGAGTCTGACTGTTCTCCAAAGCCGCAGATGTCTTTCGTTCCTCTGAAATATCTGCAGTTATTGCTTGGATGTATCCAGAGCTTTTGAAACTTTGTCTGAATCTGTGACTATTCATAATGGATACAAGAACTAACACCAATTAGGCCTGATTTCAGGACGGAAGAGGAGGTTGGTTGGAAGAAAAGAAAAGGTTTTGTAGCTGAACATTGCAGGGCTTGGTTGAGCCGATAGTGGTGAGCCCCACCTGAGGACATGAGCAGGAGATAAGGTCTAACCGTTTGCCTTGGGTGGAAGTAGATACAGTCTTTGCCGGGTCTTCCTTGCTGGTAAGAAAACTTGAAGGGTGAATACAACTTCCCTGCCCTCTCTCTGGATCACGGAATCTCTTTGAACCTTGCTTCCTCGCAGCAAGGAGCTGTGACTTGTATGGATTACCCTGTGCCAAGCCACCCGGTAGCACCAGTGTGATGGGAAACAGGTGCAGACGCTTCCGTGAATGTCCTTTTACTAAGGGCTTCCCTAACACGTTTTATCGTGCAATTGCAATGGGCTAGGTGTGCAAACACAGACAACTGTGGTCGTTCGCGTAATGTTAATTTGCCATGATTCAGCCATGTTCAGTCTCTCTCCTGAAACCTCCAACCAAATTGATACGAGTCATTTTTCACCCAGGTTAAATGCATTCATGGTGGAATTTGCACCAGGTTAGCCAAACTGCTTTCAAATTGGTTGTTAGTTGAATTTGACTTCAGCTTGTATTGTTGCTCGGTTAGCGGCTATGGTGAACTCGAAGTCTGTTTCTCCTCTGCCGCTTGCTGAAGGCGATAGATCATTTGCTTACAGTACCTTTTACACTACAGTTTCTTGCTCTGTGACATTAAAACCATGGCATTAATAAATGTGAGTGGCAGCACTAGAAATTAAATTTACGCGTTCACGTAGCAGCTCAAGGGTGATGGCCATCTTCTGTGTCTTGCCTCTCATGGGACAGACAAAAAAAGACAGTGAACCACCACTGCTTTGACAAAAGCCAGGAGAAACAGTAACGTGACGGTTGGTCTGTCTGAAATGACCTGTCTGGGGGTCGCCTTTGTCTGATAAGGCATTTCTCTGCATTGTGCTTTTTGGTCTTGAAGCAGCAGACTGGCTTTGTGAGTAGAAGGAATTAACGAGATCGCCAAGCTGCCCGCTGAATTCCTCACCGATGTGTTAGCTACAGATAATACTGCTCATCCTGCCGCTGCAGTAGGAACACTAAACATTTTTAATAGGGAAACTGCTGGAGTACGAGAAGCCAAAGAGGAGAGCTCTCCGTTCTCCTCAGCTCAGCAGCTTTACAATGCGTGGTGCTGCAAGCCGCCTTCTCCCTTCAGTTTCCGTCACCTTTGCTGATGTGGTGCTGGTGTGTCAGGGAATCCCCCTCCATGTTTGGCAATACATGTTATTTGGTTCCTAGCTATTTTGTAATTCTTTGTGGCACCTGCTTCAGACTTGGGTAGAAAAGGGCTAGAGGTAGAAGATTGGTAAGAGGCTCTGGAAGGTGAGAAGTAATGCTCTTGGAAGGCTAGAACCAAATTTATTTCATTTGTTCAGCACGTAACGTGTCACTGATACCTTCATTTTGGGTGATGTTTGATCCTTTTTTCCACAGATGCTACTCTGTAGCTTAATTCCAGCTGTGGTCCCTGCAAGTATAGTCAAAGCCTGAAGCCAACACCGCCCCGGGCTGTGGCATCCAAGGCAGCGGTGTTTTCGGCAGCGGTAGCCCCTGAAGGGTCAGGCTTGCAACAGGTTCTGAAGATAAAGCTTAGAAAGTTTATCTGCTTTTCTCAGGGTACCACTCCCGCTTGCTTTTGTTTGGTGACCGCTTTTTGTGAAGTCACGCCCGCCTGCGTGCAGTTCTTACTCCTGATAAGTCCTTTAGAGACCTCCTTTTTTACCTATCAGTAGCTGCAGTTTTAAAAATTGGACGTGCTAACCATTGCTAACAATTGAATTGAGTGCTAACCATTTCCTTAAGCGTTTTGAGTAACCTTGCAGCCCTATCGAGTACTGTGTTGCTTCGGAATAGCTTGAAACAGTTGGATGTGCTTCCAGACTGAGCTGCGCGTTTCGGAATATCGCGTGCTCACAGGTAGCGCTTTGGGAGCACCGAGCCCTCTTAGTGGGTAGCTCACAAGTTGTCGTGGTAAGACTTCACACACAGGGCAAAGAAAAAACATGTCGCATACTCGCTTTACCTTGACTTTTGGGGCGTAGAGGTTATAGTTGCTGTGTATTTGCAGTTGGTGAAGAGCTCCAAATGTTAGGCAGTATCAATAACCACCTGTGACGTTCCCTCCTGCGTAAATTAATCCATCTGCTGATTTACTGACTTGTAGTATGCATTTGACACGGTACGCTTCGGCAATGGGACTAATATAAAGTCGTAACTAAAGAGCCTCACCCACGTCATCTGGGAACAATATAATTTTAAAACGAAGCTTTATTGTTACAGGCAGCTGTCTGACAATGAACAAGAGTTCTTCCCCCTGAATGAGTGGGGTTGGGTAGGCTCGGTAGTCTGTAGGAATAAATCACACAAACGTGGTGATAGGAAAATCCATTTCTATTGTTGGGGTTTTTTTTTTAGTGCTGGCATCAAATAGGCTAATGTCTTGCAATGGTAATTATGTTTTAAGAAGGCACATCTTGCTTTTTTGTTGTTTTTAATTGTAACAGTTCTTAGTATTTCTTACAAGCTGTATTGTAGCTGAGATTCCCTTGGCAGCAGAATGAGAGCTCACAGGACGAGGGAGCCACATCGTTTCTTTAGATTGGCAGCTCTTCGTGGAAGGAGATGTCACTCTATTTCCAGTAGTTCTGACTCTAACTGTAACAACAAAGTAGATATGTATACAGACATGAAAATCTCTCCCTTGCTGCCTGTGATCCAGGACAAAACATAATGCTGTGAGAGTACTGCAAGAAGTTTCCAAGTTGGCCATGTTTTTTCCCAGTATGTCCTTCCCCAGGTTAAACTCCTACTGTCTCTGCTCTGGTTAGTCAGACTTTTGTTTTTACTGCCATTTAAAAATGTTAATGAGGTTACCGGCTCCCGGGGCTCCTGAAGTTGGGTCATTATTTGCTACTGCTCCCAGCTGGGAGCTCTCTTGCCTCCTGCGGAGAGCTGGGGCTGACGAAACCTGTTTTCTGAATCCTGTATAAATGTATGGAGCGGAGACCAAGCATGGGACATCTGCTTCCTTCAGAAACCTGTTAAATGTTATTTCAGAGCTAGTGACCTGGAAACCCTGCAAAAGAAACTTTGCTTTTGTTCTCCTAAGAACCTCTGTCCTCTACTTAAAAAAAAAACAACAACCCAACACAAAACAAAACCAAAAAAAAGGAAGAAACCTGCCCTCCCTCGCTCCCCCTAACCAAACCGTATTCCCCAAACCTTGAAGGCAACACTCAAAAGATGAGAGATGAAAAATGGAAAAACCTAAAATGGTGTCCTTGGAGAGAATAATACTGCCTCCAAAATAAAGCGTTTAAAGGCATGAAGATTTCCAGAAACCAGAATGAAAGGACACGTGTCCCTTATTCAGCACCACCTATCTCCTGCCCCAAACAGCAGTCCCGGTCGTTGGGGGTTTATGGGCAAAGGGAGCAGGCTTACCAGGGTGGGGGAAGGCATCTTCTCCCGTGAGGATGGTGACCAGAGCAGTTGCATCAAACGATGGTTCCACCTTGTCTTGGTTTTAGCTTTGTTTTTTAACGTGGTTAACTGGAGGCACGGCAGTGGAAGGAAGTGAAATAGAATCCGTCTGCATAAAACGATGAAGGAAAAGATTGAGTAGGTGAGGGAAATGCAAGCGAGCCGGGTCTTTGCTGACGCTGAAATAGGAGTTAGAGGGCAAGGAGGGGAGGGCGCGGGGAGCAAGGGGTCGGTACCTGCGAGTTCTGCCTGAACGCCCTTGCGGCGCTGGGACCGAGGGCCTGATCCAGCAAAGGCATACGAATCCCTCGTGCACTGAAGGCATCCTGTTTTGATGACTTCTCTGGTGGCACCTGGAGCACGAAAGGGATAAAATGGTCTGATTTTCTTGCAATGCCTTGTAGGCAGCCAGTGTCTGCGAGGTGCAGGGCCTTTTCCTGTTTGAAGCTGATCCCTGTGGAGCAGAATATCTCAGGGCTGGCACACAAAATTGCAGCCCAATTATATTTGAAAGTTTCGGTAAATAAAATTTCCTGGAATGTGTGAACTGCTTAAGCAATGTGTTTGCTTTTGTATGGCAGAATGAAGAAAGCCTTGTCTTTCCTAAGGTTTTGGCATTTTAATTACATTGGTGTATTTAAAACATCTGACTTCTGATTTCAGTAGGGGAGTTGAGCTGAGCTGTTAGGAAGCCCATAGCACGTCTGTAGCTGTGGTCTGTGTTAGGGCATAGTAGTGTTCATTTAGCATCTTGTAGCAACGCTTTTTTACCAATACATCCCTTAAATCAGAACTTGCCCAGTAAAACGTCAGAGCTCTGTACAGTCTGGAAGCCATGCCTCTGCTAAACTAAGGGAAAGCAGAAGTGACGCTTCCTGCAGAAGCAAACAATAGTATAAATCACTTAAATTCTAGTAACAGCGAAGTGAGTTGCCAGAAAAATACTTGGCCGAAGAAAGATGTGTTTATATGGCAGTGGTTTAGAAAAGTAGCCAGAAAATTACCAACAAGTTAATTTCAACAGTTTCAGTCTGTCTGGTTCTGTACTGTGTACTTACTAATGACGTGTTATTGAGAGTTCTTGGGGTTTTCTGCAATTTCTTTTCCCGTGCTTTGGCTGGCAGCGCCTCACAAATACTACATCGGCTTCCGGTACGTCCATCCTCTGACAGAAGAAGCAATTGAAGAGATGGAGAAAGACGGCATCGAAAGGGCTATCGCTTTCACGCAGTACCCCCAGTACAGCTGTTCTACCACAGGTGAGCGTCCGCGCGGGGGCAGAGCACGGAGGCGAACGTAGGCACGTGTCTGCGAGCCTTGAGGGAGCGCGCGGAGCGTCGGCGCAAGCTGTCCTGCCTCCCTCTGAGCGCCCCTTCCTCTTGGCTTCAGTGCCAACTCAAGGTCCTCTGTATTTCCTATAATTCCAAATTTTAGGTGGGAACTTCTTAATTCAGGATAGCTTTATGTTACCATTGCTATTGTGAGATAGCATGAACTGAAGGCTCCGGAACACAACTGAGTTAAGTTTTCGTCATGGAAACTAGAGCAATAATTGTTCTTCAGTTAAAGAATGGTTTAGCAAATTGTTCTTGACTGGTACGTTGTATGAACTTTGATATAATTGTTCCCATTTGAGGCTCTCAGTTCTGATTTACAGTTGCATTTTAAATATGTAGCATTTTAAAATACTATAATACCTTGCTACAAAACTGTTTTCATCTGACAAGTTGCTGATGCCTTCGCTGAACTTACGTTCTTAATTCTCTGCGTTTCAGGAAGCAGTTTAAATGCCATTTATCGCTACTATAATAAAAAAGGGGAGAAGCCAAAGATGAAGTGGAGTATAATTGACCGGTGGCCCACACATCCCCTCCTTATTCAGGTATGGATTTGTATGAGAGCCTTTGAAAGGAGAGGGGTGAACTGCGCAGGTCTGATACGTTATCAAATTGGTGTTCCCTGGGGTTTTCTTAGATTGGTTGGTGTAGGAGAAACTTGGTATCTTTGCATTGCCAGCTGACTTTAAAACAACAAAGAACTAAGTAAATACAGATGTTTATTGAGGTTCCTTTTTAGAAATATTTGCTACCAGTAAAAGCACAGTCTAATGTTAAGCAACAGAAACATTCTGAGGAAGCACTTCACTTAGATCAAGTCTTTGCTTCTAACAAAGCTTACAAGATTTTTAGCTATAGACTGTACTAAAAGATGAAGTTATTTCCTGATTTAGGCTGTGTTTATGTGTTTTCTTTAAAAAAAAACAACTTAAGAAGAATAAAAGGAACACTTCCATTTGAGAGTACATTGTAGTTCTGGTAATGAAATGTGTCTTGTCTACTCTGTACGAAATTACAGGAGAAGGGTGGTGATTTCATGCCGGATGTTTTGGCGTGATAATGTGTGAAAGTGACCACCTCACACATCTTGTTTTAAAAGCATAGAGATATTATGATACCAGCCTTGGCTGGAAGGGACCTCTAGAGGTCATTAGTCCAAATTCCTGCTCAGAGCCGGTCTGTGGCCGACACACATACAGATCTGGTCGGTTTGTCAGGGTCTCGTCTGGCAGCAAAGAGGTAATTCTAGGCACAGCACTGGCTGTGGCAGGAGCAATTAAGGGAAACCTTGCTCCTTCCTTTTCAGAGAAAATGGCATTTTTATCTTTGTTGGGGACCTTCTCCTCTAGTTCGGGTTTGGCAATTTTTGTGGTGTGTGGAACAGATGATAAAAACGACTGAAGGAGGGCACGGTGGAGCTGCCCGCACTGTGTGATGTCCCCTGCCAGGCTGCCTGAGCGCCATGCTGTCTTGGGACGTGCGTTGTCATTATGCACCCCCCATGCCTGCAGTATGTGTTCTCCTTGCCTTCAGTGAAACACCTCAGCGGACTTCAGGAACCTTACCTATCTTCAGGGAACCTGCAAAACGGTTTCTATTAGACAGAGTACATATAACCCCTCCTTTTTTTTTTAAGCAGCTCACCAATGTGCGTTTCCTTAAGCCTGGGGCGGCTGTAATTGAAAGGGCTGGCTCAGCTGCTGGTTAGAAAGTTGAAATGCAAATAAAATTTTTGTAACATTTCTGATCTGTTGTTCACCGCAAAACATCTAAGAGAGAAGCCCCTGCAGGCAGAGTTGTCTCCTGCTCCTGCAGCCCCACATGCCAGCGGTGACAGCAGCTGCTTTTCTCCGTGCACTCCCTCAGCCTAGCTGTGTGTATGCAGCGCTACGGCTCTCAGCTCAAGTGCTGGCGGAGGGAGTGAAGGGTCAGAGGTGTTGCCCTGCTTTTTTGTGTAGTACTAAGAGCATTTCGAGTGTTGAGGGACAGAGGCGTCCATCTCTCCCATGGTCTCTCCCGTCAGCTGAGCTCAAGGTGGAGGACTCTGGATGCAGTTGAACACAGTTATCTCAGACTTGCCTCAGCAGTGCATTAGGGGACACCTTTCGCAGAGCAGGCTCTTCTCCGATGCCGTGTGAATGGACTCTAATTTAGTCTAAGTGTAATGGGGCTGCTGAGAGAGGGTGGTTGTGCTCTGCCCATTCACCATTCCTTTCTCCCCCTGCCCCAGCAGCTGCACACTTGTGCCCTCCGCGGCCAGGGAACTGCTCGTCAGAGGCGGCAGAGGAGAGCTGGGTTGGATTGGTCAGAGTCTTTCAGTTTGTTACCAGCACCTTAAAACCATTGGGATGATCAAAAGTTCACAGGGGCCTTTGGTGTGCTGGGACTGGGCAGTGCGTGAGACTGTATACGTGACAGTACATAATACGTGCTGTCTCTTGCTATTGCCCCACGCATACCAGAGGGAATTTTGAAGTTCTTAAGGCAACCTGGAACATGGAAACTGCCTGTCTTGGGTCATGTGAGATCACATAATGCCTCTCTGTTTCTGATTCAGGTCTTTGCTTTTTTTTCTGAACAGTGCTTCACCGATCACATACAGAAGGAACTGAACCTGTTTCCACCTGACAAAAGGAAAGATGTCATCATCCTCTTCTCGGCTCACTCGCTGCCCATGTCTGTGAGTTACGTCAGGTCGTTTCTGTCACTGTTAGACCAGAGTCACGCTGGCTGGGCTGAATGGAAGGGGACGCGGCTCACACAGCCATGGGTAGGGCCACAGTTGTGGAAGTGCCAGGCAAATGTGAAAGAGAAATATGAAGGTGAGTTAGCGAGTTGCAGCTGGAAGCCTGATGCAGAGCTGAAGGTGAGGCACGTGAGCTGTGGTCACTCTCCCGCACGCTTACGCAGATCTGCGCTGTTGGCCACCATAGAAGACGGGGCGCTGGGTTAGGTCAGACGCGGTACAGCTGCTTTCATGGCCTCACGAACTTGCCAGCTCAAACCCAGATGGTAATGGAGGGGAAAATTTGGTTATTTTCTCACCTCTAGAAAGCAGTAATAATACTTTCCCTGAAGGAATGAAAGTAAAATCTTTGCAAGGTTGCAATAAATGGACTTTTAAGGTGTTGCTTTTTGAGGATCTCTGAGCGATGTTTCTGAAGTAATTACTGTGATTTAGGCATTCTTAATAATAATATGAGCCTAATCCAAACAGGCTTCATTATTCTTGACAAAGACTGCTTGATTACTTTGTCCTTATTATTACTACTGCAAATAGCAAGGAACGTAAGTTTTACCAGAATTACGTAGTACAAGTAATGCCCTTATGTCTCAAGGGCATTACACCTATCGGGCCATTTTTGTCTTGATCCTCTGTCAGCAACCAGCAACTGCAGTGAAACGGCTCACGGATCATTTTTCAAAAATGCAGTGCTGTTACCAAAATGTAAGCGTATCTGTATACGATGATAGAAGAATTTATCTTCTATCGTGCGAAGGAGGAGGAATACATGTTCTCATAAAGCAGCTTCATCATAGGTTTTGCTGGGCAAGAACGCAGTTTTTGTTCCCTGTTTCGGATGAGCCAGGCACTTGGTACGGCCCGTCCCGGGCACAGCCGCGTCACGCGCAGCGTGCTCGCCTTTCCCAGTCTTGGGGTGGTCTTTGCCCAAACATGTTCACTGGGAGAAAAAGGTCTGGTGTTTTTGTGTTGAAGGTGGTGAACCGTGGTGATCCGTATCCTCAAGAAGTGGGAGCTACAGTCCAGAGAGTCATGGAGAAGCTGAACTACTCCAACCCTTACAGGCTTGTGTGGCAGTCCAAGGTATGTGCTCAGGGAGGCTGTAAAGCCACCTGCCGCTGTAAAGCTCTTCAGGTGACGGAGTTTATGATCTTCCAGCTTAAGAAGATCATAACCTCAGTGCCTTTTTCCCATTTTCGGCAAGTATTTCTGCTAGAACAGAATCCCCATCTTTTACTCCCATTCAGTCTTCTCAGATACTCTACCCACAGTTTCTTGCCTTTTTTGTATATTGTGTCATTTTAAAGTAGATTTTTGATGTGTCTGTTAGAAAACCTATGATCTCATACCATCTAGTTTGGCATTTGTCTGTCAGAAGGAAGAATCAGGCACTCGCTGGATTTTTAAGGTGTTGCTTTTTGAGGATCTCTGAGCGATGTTTCTGAAGTAATTACTGTGATTTAGGCATTCTTAATAATAATATGAGCCTAATCCAAACAGGCTTCATTATTCTTGACAAAGACTGCTTGATTACTTTGTCCTTATTATTACTACTGCAAATAGCAAGGAACGTAAGTTTTACCAGAATTACGTAGTACAAGTAATGCCCTTATGTCTCAAGGGCATTACACCTATCGGGCCATTTTTGTCTTGATCCTCTGTCAGCAACCAGCAACTGCAGTGAAACGGCTCACGGATCATTTTTCAAAAATGCAGTGCTGTTACCAAAATGTAAGCGTATCTGTATACGATGATAGAAGAATTTATCTTCTATCGTGCGAAGGAGGAGGAATACATGTTCTCATAAAGCAGCTTCATCATAGGTTTTGCTGGGCAAGAACGCAGTTTTTGTTCCCTGTTTCGGATGAGCCAGGCACTTGGTACGGCCCGTCCCGGGCACAGCCGCGTCACGCGCAGCGTGCTCGCCTTTCCCAGTCTTGGGGTGGTCTTTGCCCAAACATGTTCACTGGGAGAAAAAGGTCTGGTGTTTTTGTGTTGAAGGTGGTGAACCGTGGTGATCCGTATCCTCAAGAAGTGGGAGCTACAGTCCAGAGAGTCATGGAGAAGCTGAACTACTCCAACCCTTACAGGCTTGTGTGGCAGTCCAAGGTATGTGCTCAGGGAGGCTGTAAAGCCACCTGCCGCTGTAAAGCTCTTCAGGTGACGGAGTTTATGATCTTCCAGCTTAAGAAGATCATAACCTCAGTGCCTTTTTCCCATTTTCGGCAAGTATTTCTGCTAGAACAGAATCCCCATCTTTTACTCCCATTCAGTCTTCTCAGATACTCTACCCACAGTTTCTTGCCTTTTTTGTATATTGTGTCATTTTAAAGTAGATTTTTGATGTGTCTGTTAGAAAACCTATGATCTCATACCATCTAGTTTGGCATTTGTCTGTCAGAAGGAAGAATCAGGCACTCGCTGGATTTTTAAGGTGTTGCTTTTTGAGGATCTCTGAGCGATGTTTCTGAAGTAATTACTGTGATTTAGGCATTCTTAATAATAATATGAGCCTAATCCAAACAGGCTTCATTATTCTTGACAAAGACTGCTTGATTACTTTGTCCTTATTATTACTACTGCAAATAGCAAGGAACGTAAGTTTTACCAGAATTACGTAGTACAAGTAATGCCCTTATGTCTCAAGGGCATTACACCTATCGGGCCATTTTTGTCTTGTTCTTAAAGTTGCATATTATGGTACATCAGCACTGAATACTTCAGGGATAGTAAAGGCGTAAGGACAGTTTGCTACAGAACGGTGACTTCTTTAAAAGGCAGGTAAACCCCGTGCAGTAGTGGTCAGGGTTTTATTGAACTGAAAACAGCGCACCTTTATATAAATTTTCATTTGTTTTAATGAGAGTCTCATTTAGGCGAGCCCAGGTTCTGTTTCTTTGGGATTTAAATGACAGGACATTATGTCTTAATAAAAAAATTAATGGAGAACGTGAGAGGCACTATCAAAAAAAAGGGAAAGGCAAATAACTGGCTCCATCTTAAACATAATCTGGTCTGTGTTGTCCTGCTTGGGAAAACGTGGGTGTTCTTTGTAAGAATGATTGAACGAGGGGTTTTTTTCTTTATTTCCCTCCCTGTTTTCTTACAGGTTGGACCAATGCCTTGGCTTGGTCCGCAGACAGATGAGGCCATTAAAGGACTGTGCCAAAGAGGAAAGAAGAACATGTTGTTGGTCCCGATAGCGTTTACAAGTGACCACATTGAGACACTTTATGAACTGGATATTGAGTATGCCCAAGTTTTAGCCAATGAGGTGAATGTTTTATAGTTTTTATAAGTGTTTGGATAATGGTGCTCTGAAATTACTTCTCCTGGTTTGAAATTTGCTTTGTAGTTGCTTCTTGCAATACGATTTAGAGCAAATTTTATTTCTCTATAAACTGAAAATTAATCTGAACTGGCTTAACTCAATTTTTAGCAACACAAAACCGGTGGGAATTTGTCTTTCTAGATTTAACTCTTTAAGCCACTGCTGTCCTTACTAAAAAAAGAATCACTGAGTTTTGGCAGCAAAGTGAAATTTTGCATCGTAGTTATTTTTGCTGTATTGAAAAACACGGTATTGCATTTAATTCCATAATTTTGGGGCAACTTCTGAATGAAGTAGAAAGGGAGATTTTGAAGGCTAACTAGTGAAGGATCTAGCAGACTTAACTTTTTTTCCTCCTTGTTTTTGATTCAGTGTGGAGTTGAAAATATCAGAAGAGCAGAGTCTCTTAATGGAAATCCACTGTTCTCCAAGGTATCTTCTTTGTTGCAATAGTTGTAAAAGTTTGCAGTTGTGTGTTTCCTGCTAAATTATGGATGTCTTCTTGTAGTTCTAAAGTATTTGGAGTTTGAGAGCAAAAATGGAAACCCCTGTACTTAATCTGTATACCACAAAGTGTTTTCTTTTACCACACTTTGTTTTGTTTTTTTTTAAAAAAAAGAAGTTGTTCAGAAGTTTGGTTTGACAAAAAAGAAAAGCAGTTTTGTATTCATTTGTAGTAATCTTTTAATGAAATATTTCTCTTAAGATATTATGGCAATGCAGTTTTAAAGCAGGATTTTCCCCTGAAGTAAAGGAGGGTAGTGCTTAAAGCGTGTAGTCTGATGGACGCGCAATTTGGCAATCTCGCTAGTCAGTGTGACACGTTAAAGCATTTTTTTAATTTTATGCAGATAGGTTTGCTCACTTCTGATTTTTAATTAACTGTCTTTCAGGCTCTGGCCGACTTGGTCTGTTCGCATATCCAGGCGAATGAAATCTGCTCTAGGCAGTTAACCCTCTGCTGTCCGCTCTGTGTAAATCCCGTCTGCAGGGAGACAAAAGCCTTCTTCACTAACCAGCAGCTGTGACGGGCGGCCTGGGAGGGCACCGCTGGATCCTACAGGGAAATGGCCCTGGCGAAGCAGCGCGAAGGAAAGAAACCACTTGACGAAACTCTCCGCTGTTACATACTCATGGGCTGGTAGCCTGTGATGTTAACCTCATGCAACAGCGAGGAGAACTTGACGTTTTTGTTTTATTTTTTCTTATGTTTTCTTTGTTTGAGAAGAGTTTGTAGAAAGTAGGGAAATAAGGGCGTTTATCCTGGGAGATGTGAAAAGATCTTGTTTCATCTGATTCTGATTGGAATTAGCATGAGCCCATAAGTATGCACTAAAAAACTCAAAAAGCTTTTCTACAAATTAGCTTCTATTTCCTATGCAGGGATTTATTTGTATGCAGTTTTGTCATGAGTGCATTAATTTCAGCTTTCCAGGTCAAGCATACAATTATTTGTTTTGTTTCTGCTTAAGGTACAGCATAACCAGCATAGTCACCGATTGTCTCTTCTGAGAGTGACTTCTCAGGTGGCTTTGAAGATTGAGTGACTTCTAATGCTTTTTAAATAATGCGTATACTTTTTTAGAACCTAAAGATAAGGCTTTGTTTTGGTTTGGTTTTCTTCTCCTGCCAGAAGCTTCTGGTGAAAGCTTAGCTGGGATAGTAGGACGCACGAGATTTGTTTACATTTTCTAGAAAAAACACCCTCGTTATCTGCAGGAAAGCCTCTGCATTTGAAGAGCATAAAAATGAAAGGAATAAGCCTGCTTGGGTAACGCTGGAGAACGTGCTCAGTTGAAACGAACTGTGCGTGTTTCCGATCTAGCCGCTATCAGCAGCCTGTATGGAAACGTGTTGGTTCCTCTTTTAAGCAAAATGGCTTTTAAAAATTATTATTAAAACGGGCTTTCTCTGTTTGGTTAAGTAAATTTAGGACGTCAGGCTTGCTCTCCAGAAGGTTTATAGATCTGCTCTGTGCTTTCTACTGTGCCACAGTGCTGTGGTTTTTGTGGGATACCTATGGGGTTCCATAGGTACAATTGATCTCGCTGAATTGATGTGGTTATTTAAAACGGAGCGGGTAGGTCAGGAGTGATGTACATTGCCGATGCCGGAGAGCAGGCAGCCCCGCGGGCTGGCAGCTGTGTGCTTGTGCGTACCTTTGCCAAAAGCCGAGTTTTGTCTGTTAGATTTGTGACGTTGATCGGGGGCTGGCAGTAGGCACTCGTCACCCAGCTGAACTTCTTGCTTGTTTTGGCAGGCCTTTGGGTGCATCAGGACTGCTGAACCCACTCCTAAGTAGTGGCAGTTTTTTAGAGCGAAGAACCTTTTTAGGGCAGTGTTCCCTCACTGTCAGCACCGGGACCGGTGTCCACGTTAGACGTGGGATAGGAGGGGGCTTTTCTGAAAGGCTGGTCACCACGCAGCATGCCTGAGCTTGGCACTTGGAGTAGTTCAGGGCAGAAGTACTGCAGCACCTCAGTCCGTGTCCTCTCGCACAGGGACCTCTCCTCCGGGGCGGGACAAAGGGGGAGCAAAGCTGTGACCATGTTCTGTGGGACTGAGCCATACGTGTAGTAGTCTAGCTGTCAGCTTCATGGGTATAAATGTTTACTTGACGTCATTAGCACTGAAATGCCACAAATGTGGCAATGCAGGTTGTTTTCCGTAAATTGATGATTCAGCTAATCGTGATGTTTGAGAAGCAGATGCCATGCTGCTCAGACAGTTTTATTTGCTTATGTAATTAGGAGGCATGAACAGTTTGGACCGCTGATCTTTCAAGGATAGGGTTGTTTCAAAAGAAAATAGGCGTCTTGGTATAACAGGGGTTTACCTTCTGGTTTACGTTGAAAGAATTACACATGGGATACTAAAGAAATGAATGGATGCTGTGTCGGTCAGCCAGCGGGCCGAGTACTGCCATGGAGCGATGTAAACCCTACTATACAGCCTCGCTAGGGCCTGTGGCCTCATATGTCTTGAGAGTCGATTGACGTCTCTCCACTGCCATACTGCAGCTTCCGAGTGTGATTATGGTGGGACAGAGTTAAATTCCTTCGGTGCCAGAACCTCCGACGTTACTGCTGCCCCTCGTTGCTTTAGCAGAAAGAAGTCTTCCGTGACCCTTCGTACCTGTGCCTGTTTCAGTGGCGGGGGCCAGAAGCTGGGGCTTCTGTTCTGCCTTTCTTGCTCCGTTCTTGGTCTCTGCTCACTGCCTTGGCAGGAGAAAGGAACGCAAAGCCGATTCCTGCTCTTGCTCAGGTGGAGTAGGTAGGGTTATCGCATGTGCACGGAAAGGTGAAATTCTCGTGGAAAAGCTTTGAATCAACGTCAAAAGAACAAAAATGTCTGCAATGTGTCTGGGAAGGGAACGCTGGCCTTACGTCTCTCATTGGACAAAGAACTTTCTCCGTTCCCATTTCTCTGCTTGACGCTTATGGGTCTGTTTTGTAAAATCTTCCTGCTCGTACCTCTGTCCTACCAGCCGAAGGGTGGACTGACCTCCAAATCCAGGTTGTGAGCAGCACATGTAGAAGTGTGGCTGATGCTGGAAAGTGAAGGTTAACTTCATACGAACATTGCGATACTATAAATATAGAGTGGCTTTTTATTTCCATACTGGAAAGAGTACTGAAAATATTAGCCAGCACTAATTACGAGGCATTATGTTTGTCCCCAGTAATAAAAGGTATTTAAAATTCACTTTTTAGTATGCTAACCACAAGTGAGATAATTACTAAGCCTATTGCTGCTATTAGACCATAATGTACAAATCACTTAATTTTCTAGCTTTTAGCAGATGGATCTTGTCTCATAGAGTTGGTGGGGCTGTTCATTTTGCTGAACAGATCACGTAATATCACTCTGTCCTATTTAACACACATTATTTTGTCTTAGCACAGCATCAAAAGCCTGTTGAAAAACTACCTGAGCAAGTTAGCTAGCAGCTCTGCTTAGTATTTTTAATAGAAATCAAGATAACAGTGAGACTAATAACAGTGGGAATTCTGCTGCCATTGAGATCGTCTAATCCTGGTTTTTCTGTTTGGGAGCATTTCTGACTATGCTAACTAACAGTGGAATTAATTTGACCTTACTTCAGATGCTTCCGATCTACGTGCTGACAGCTGAGCTGGTCTTGTAGGTACTATTTATGGTCAAAAGATGGTTGTAATGTGTGTTTCTGAGAAATTACTCATCTCTCAAAGTAGATGTCCACACCGGGTTGGATGAGTTCCACTCTGTAGCTGCCTCTGACCCTGAAGCAGCGTGGTGCACTAACACGGAGGTAGTTAGCTGCGTTGCGTATGTCTAACGTGAGATGAATCCCATCCGTTTATGTGCCTTCTTCTTCAGCACTCTGCCAGTGACGTGTAGCCACTGCATTTGGGAGATTGCAGTCTTAATCCTACAGTTATGCATTCAGTTTGCCCCTCTGGCAGACTTTAAACATTTGGTGCTACTAACTCAGGACTCGGTCTCGTCAGGTCCCGAGCATTTTCTGCTCTGGTTGAATTGGTTTGAGCATATGGAGGTGTCAGCATCTGGAGACTCTAGTCCTCAGACAACGATCTAGTTTGATTTTTTCATTATCAGTTACACTCCTTTTGCAGTACTTTGTTTCATTTGCAAGTGTTTTTCATTTACATGTGCCCTGACAAAAAGCAACCAGTTGCAAGTGAGCTTGAGGGATGTGTTGAGGCAGCGTTGTATCCCCAGATGTCGTTGGTTCGAGCCGAGTCCTCGGCTGGCCTGGAGCCGCGGGGCCCTCGGGGACAGCGCGCGTCGCCGTCCCCTTGCCCAGGCTGCTCGGTCGCGCTCCCGCTCGTGCCGGTGGTGCCGTTTGCGGCGGCACAGCCGGGGCTGCCCTGACAGCGGGAGTGAGGGCGGGGGGTGCAGTCTGCACGCCAGCACTCCCAGCGCTGCGGAGCTCTGGCCTGAGGATATCGATTGAGAGAGGAGTTCGGAAACAGAGCCCTTGCTGTCCTGAGGAAAGAAGTGGGAAGTAAAGGTGTTTGCAAATGAAATGATTTGAAGAATTTGCTCATGATTAGACTGTTCTCCTGATTTAACTCTCTGCAATTTTGCTTTTTGCTTTTTTTTGTTGAGTTGAAGTTTTTCTCTTTCGGGGTTTATAAAATCTCCCTTATTACTGGCTGCATTTTAGAAAAGGTGATAGCTTCCAGAAGTGGTGCTGCAATATTAGGAGGTGTGTGGGTAGTGTCTGTGAGCTAACCTGCTCCCTCTGGGGAGGAGGGTGTTACAGCTGAGATCAGTGGGGCCGGGATTTTCCTAGGAATATCTGAAAGCTCACTTTATTTTCCCTTTCTACCACACCCAGAGAGTTGGAAATCAATATGAAGTGTAAGATGCAAGAGAGAGAGAAGTTGCTTTTATTTTTTAATGCCAGATGTGTACAAATACTTGCTTTTAGTCCAACGTATGTATTTCGGATTGAACGAGGACTTCCATTTAATGTAACACAAAAAAATTTGTATAATCTTACTGTGTATCATTTGCCATAAAGATGGAATTTCAATTAAATTTTTTGGAAGAACTAACTGAGCTGTGTGTCTTTAGTAAGAGCCCGTTATGATGGTATTTGACGTCCTTTCTGTTCCTTTCCTTTTCTGTGCACCAGAAAGCAAAAGCATTTGGGCACGTACGGGGCAGCATTTTGATTCGGATCAGCAGCGAACTGTGCGGCGGTGATTCCCCCGTGACAGAGAGTTGGTTCGCTTTGTGCACGAGAGGGTCGCACTGGGGATGCCTCTGGAAGGGAGCCCTCCAGATGTGCACCAAACGCTCCTGCTGCACGCAGGTCTCAGCCAAGCCCCGTTTGAATGCTCGGTCCAAGGAACCCGACTGACGTTACCTGGAGCAGGGCCCCAGCACCCGCTGAGGTACGCCGCTCTGGTCCTGGTGTGCCAAATGACGGGCCTCAGGAGCCAAGCCGTGGTGGGTCAGTCCCTTAGGTTTTCAGGGGAAATAATGGCACTTCAGCCCTCTGGGCTCGCAGTCCTTC